GCCAGGGCGGGAGCGGGTCCACAAGGGGAGCCAGTTTAAACCCCAGCTCCCCCCATGGACCAGCTGCCTCCCACCTCACACTGCTGCCTCTGATACAGAGGCAGCAGCACGAGGTAGCAGTAGTCCCTGTCTGGGGGTGGAGTCTGAGCTCCCAGACCTGGTGTGAGCCGGGCTGCCTGCCTGCCTGCCTCCGAATACACTTTAAATGCAGAACGGCAGCGGGGGAAGGTCCCAGGCCTGGTGTGAGCCAGGACTGAGCCGGGCTTCTGGCCAGCCTCCTAAAAAATGTCCTGGCGGCCGGGGGAAGGAAATGCATGTGGCCTACAGCATTGACCGATAAGCTTTTGCCGTGTTATCCTCACCCAGCTACTGAGGAAGTAGTCCCTGCCCCCCAGGAAGTGATCCAGGGCTTGGAAGGGGCAGAGAAAGTCCCAAAGTGAATCTGATCAATCCCTGACTTCAATTTGTCACTTTCTGCCCTGACTGGCAGCTCCCAGGCTTTCAGGGGAGTTTCATCATCTGGGGTGGGGCCGGGCTTTGGACACGCCTCCCCCCAGAGCCCAGCTCACTGCCTCTGAGGTCCCCCGACACCTGCTCTTCTGGGCATGACCGGAACGGCTGGAATCTCGCCCACTGACGAGCGGCTCTCAATCAGAACGCTCTGTTGCAAGGGTAGGGACCCTACGGCCCCCAGCTTGTCTGGATCCGGCCCCTGAGCCTCGGGGCGTCCCCTCCCCTAGCACCAGGGAGCCAGCACTGGCTCTCCAGCCCTGCAACCTCCCCACAGCGCTTGCTTAAATAAGGCCTTCTTTTGGTGATACAGGCGGGGCTGCTATTTTTCTCCTCCTGAGCTGGGGCAATAAGTAGCCACGGCCCTTCCAAGCCCCCACACTAAGCTGGCTGGAATTCTCACCCCTTCTCCTTTTGGAAACTGTCATCAGCGCGCCTGCTTCCACGCCGCTCTGGATCGCCTGTGCCCCGGCGTGCCAGACGGTCTTAGCTAAACAACAGAGACAGGCGCTTCCATCCGGCTCAGCTGTCCCAGGAAAGCTTTGCCTGACAATCAAGGAACCCAAACGACACGTCTTGCAAAGAATATTGGATTTATCAGCCCACCTAATGAAAGGCAGCGGGCGGGCCACCGAAGTGCTTCTGTCAGAAAGATTGGCCGTACGGGCCCTGGGCGACCTACATTGGTTTTCGGTGGTAATTATTAGTGCTAATGGAGGGTGTTTTTAATTCTGCTTTCAGTCATCCTGTGACACACTGAAATGTGAGGTAGGAAATAGCTCGGCTTCTGGTTCCTTCTGGGGTGGATACAAGGGGACAGCAGCATAAAGGGGTATCCAAGCGGCACAATGACCCGGCCACTTTTTCTCTACTCAGGCTACTCTCCAGATGAGCGAGAGCTGGGGAGGGGCAAGATTATGAGGCTTACAAAGGTCTCTGTAGAATCTGATTTAAACAAAAGTGTGTTGTACTGAGCATGTGTGTGTATGTCTGCACGTGTGCGTGTGCACGAGTGTGTGCATACGTGTGTGTGTATGAGTGTGCATGTGTGTGAGTGTGTGCATGCATGTGTGCGTGTGTGTGCATTTGTGTGTGTGTGCGCGCGCACACCATTACCCCATACTAGATAGGGCAGCTGTGTTACAGGGAATGGACATTCTCCGGTAGGTCCTTTGGCAGGTGCTTGTCCTTTCAGTGCGGGGGGAGCATTGACTGATTTGCTGGGGTGTGTGTTTGAGGCGCCGTCCAGGATCAAGTCTGATGCCTGATCTTTAACAGGGGCCTGGGTTGGAGCAAATGGAATTCAGAGGCCAGAGGTCCTACCAGGGTGACACTAATTCATTTACAACCTTTGGAAAATGAGTCGTCCTGTGGCACCTTAGAGACTAACAGATTTATCAGGCCATCAGCTCTCATGGGTAAAACCCGCTTCATCAGCTGCGCTGGCGTGGAAGTTACAGAAGCAGGATTGCCACGTGTATTGGCCAAACTGGACAGTCTCTGCGCCAAAGGATAATTGGACACAAATCAGACATCAGGGAATGATAACACACAGGGCCGGCCCGAGCCCAGGGGTGTGGTGCTGCCCACGGGGCGCACATCCCTGCCTCCGGGCGCATGGCGCCTGTGCGGGCGCACGGCCCCGCCTCCGGGCGCATGGCG